CATATAAAAATAAATAAATTAATTAATTAATTAATTAAAGGTATTGTGTCCATCCACAGCTAAAAAAATTAAAAAATAAATAAAAGAGCTAAAAGTTAACTAATGCAGAGCTTATACTAAGTGAATTAAGCTGTTTTTATAGGTATGACCTCAATTAATCCTCCTCAGAGGCGTATAAGGTATGTTTTTCACTCCTATTTTACAAATAAGGAAACAAAGGATGCCGATTAAGAAACTTGACTATTAAAAAGAAAGAAACTTGTATATGGTCACGGTAAAGGATGCATGTGAACCTATTTATTTCTTTTTCCTAGGCTTGTGATCACAGTCACTATTTACATTTCACTCTCTCCAGATTTAATCAGAGGTAAGCATAGTATCAGAGTAAAGAGAAGTAAAGACAGTATAATTTTAATTGCTGGTGTCAACAAGGTGGTTTATACATCTATCACTACTAAAGAACTATTCTTAGCTGGGTGCATTGATAATCGCCTGTAATCCCAGAGACTGAGGTAGGAGAATCACAAGTTCAAGGCCCTAAGAAATTTAGTGAAACCTGTCTCAAAATAAAAAATGAAAAGGGCTGGGAATGTGGCTCAGTGGTAAACCACCACTGGGTTTAATCCCTTCTACCAAAAAAAAAAAAAAGAACTATTTTCACTGGGCATGGTGACTCATGCCTGAAATCCCAGCTATTCAAGAGGCTAAAACAGGAACATTGCAAGTTCAAGGCCAACCTGGGCAATTTAGCAAGATCCTATCTCAAAATAAAAAATAAAATAAAATGGACTGTGGAATGTACCTCAGTGTTAGGGCACTTGCCTAGCATATGAGATGCCCCTGTACTGCCCCCCCAAAAAAACTTTTTAAAAAAGTAAATCCTTCTATTTTTTTTTACTATTTTTTATTGATTTTTTTGATACCAAGGATTGAACTCAGGGGCACTTAACCACTGAGCCACATCCCCAGCCCTATTTTGTGTTTTAATAGATACAGGATCGCACCTTGCCTTTGCTCCTGCCTCAGCCTCCTCTTGCCTCAGCCTCCCAAGCCGCTGGGATTATAGGTGTGCACCACCACGCCCTGTAAAATAAATCTTTGCTTCTTCTTCTTCTTTTTTTTTTTTTTTAAAGAGAGAGAGACAATTTTCTTTTTAATATTTATTTTTTAGTTTTCGGCGAACACAACATCTTTGTATGTGGTGCTGAGAATGGAACCTGGACCGCACGCATGCCAGGCAAGCGCACTACCGCTTGAGCCACATCCCCAGCCCATAAATCTTTGCTTCTTAAGTGTACTGTCCTCTTCTTTTCCCTCTGAAAGAAAGATTAAATCTGGTCACTTACTTGAATTTTGGATGTTTCTTCATCACACCTTCACCAAGTCTTTCCTGGGTTTTCTTTTCTGGCATTCTGATAAACTCCATTTCATTTATAGAGTTTCTTTGACTTCAGTTTTCGTGGTACTTTCCAGTTGCTTCATAGTGCTTTAAGAGTTTGGTAGTGTATTTTGGAACAATCTTCTCTGTGCTCAGATATTTAAAAACCAGAGCAACTTTTCTTCTACTACAGCTCCATTTTTGCAAATGACTTCAAGTTCAGCGGACCATGTCTGTGATGTGGTCATATTTCTTTTACTTTCATATGACTTCTCCAATGGAGGAGAGAGGAAGATCAGTGACTTAGTCAACATGAAAATGCTACCTTAAATGTGAGAGATTAAAAAAAAATAGTGAGATATTGACTTTAAAATAAGTGCTCATTTGAGTTTCTTAATTGCTTCACTCTGTTCTAATCCTAGGACTATTGCCTAACATCTGAAAGTACAACTTTTGGGTGATCATTCAGCTTCCTTACAATTAGACATGATAGGGCTGGGGCTGTAGCTCAGTGGTGGAGTGCCTGCTTTGTATATGTGAGGCACTGGGTTCAATCTTCAGCATCACATAAAAGTAAATAAATAAAGATATTGTATCCATCTACAACTAAAAAATTAGACATGCTATGAAATCTGTATATATCCAAAATTATGTCATTGGAAAGATGCTCTCTCTCCAAGCCAGACATGGTGGCACATGCCTGTAATCCCAGCAGTTTAGGAGGCTGAGTAAGGTAGGAGGATCACAAGTTCAAAGCCAGCCTCAGCAATTTAGTGAGGCCCTAAGCAATTTAGCAATTGTCTCTAAATAAAATATTTAAAAAGAGCTGGAGAGGTGGCTCAGTGGTTAAAAGCCCCTGGGTTCAATACCCAGTACCCCCCACCAAAAAGAAAGAAAGAAAGAAAGAAAGAAAGATACTTTCTACTTATTGTGATTTTAAAAATGAAACATTACAGGGCTTGGGCTGTAGCTCAGTGGTAATGGTAGAGTGTTTGCCTAGCATGTGTGAGGCACTGGGTTTGATCCTCAGCATCACATAAAATTAAGGTATTGTATCAAAAAGAAAGAAAAAAGAAACATTATAGAACACAGTATGAATGAGCTTGACAAATTAAATTGTCAAGAAAGTAGATCAACATTATGTTAATATCCTCTCCTGGTGATGGAATTCCTCCATCATGCTTTTTAACTTCTTTATATTTCCCTGTTTGTTCAAAATAACCTAGTGGGACTGGGGATTTAGTTCAGTGGTAGAGCACTTGGCTAGGAAGTACAAGGTCCTGAGTTCAATTCCCAGCACTGCAAAAAAACAAAACACAAGGACTGGGGTTGTAGTTCAGTGGTAGAGTGCCTACCTAGCATGTGTGAGACACTGGATTGATCCTCAGCACTGCATTTAGATAAATAAAAATAAAAAGGTCCATCAACATCTAAAAAATATTAAAAAAAAAAAAAAAACACAAACAAAAAACAAAATAAGCTTGTGAACAAGCTTCTTTAGTTGACAAGTCCAACTTCAGAAAAAAAGGGGACTTTGTTAACACAGAACTATCCCATAGAACCTAAGAATAGAAATAGAGTCAGACCTTGGAAAAGATCAGAAACAAGAACAGAAAGTTTACAATGCACCAATGAAAGAAAGAAAGAAAATAGAATGCTTTCAGGACTTGCTAGTACTGGGGATTGAACCCAGGCCCTTGCACATACTAGGCAAGCACTGAGCTCTATCTTCAGCACTTTTTGTCTTATTTTGAAACAGGATCTCATTAAGTTGTCCAGGCTGGCCTCCAACTGCAATCCTCTTGCCTCAGCCTCCTGAGTAGCTGGAATTACAGGCTTTCCAGGACTTTTAGACTCATCTCAGCCCTTTGTTATCATCTTCTTTCTTGAATTGTTCATTCTTTCATCTTTTCAATGATTTGACACAGATATATTGGTTGTCTTCTTTGTTCTAGGAACTGTTCAGATGCTGGATATATACAGGTAAACAAAATAAACCAATTCTCTGCCTTCAAAGTCCTTATATTTTAGTGAGGGAAAAAGAAAATAAACAAGTATACATAAATTTAAATGGTTTCTGAGGATTGTGAATGTTACAAGAGAAATAAAACAGAGTGATATGACAAAGTATAACTGGGAAAGTGCTCACTTATATCTAAGTTGGAGAAAGGTCTCTTGACAGATGGAAAGATGCTAAGAAACTGAAGAATGAGAAGGAACTGCCACATAAAGAGCAAGGGAAACAGAATTCCAGCAGACTACAAAGGGCTTGGGAACAGGGCCCTTAAGGGTTCAGGGAGCAGAGAGGAAGCCAGTAGTGAGGAGTTTGTGAGCTAGACCAGGAAAGGCAGAAGGTGTGACTAAAGAAGCAAGAAGTGGGTCAAGTGGTGTAGGAACCCAGTAAAAAGTTTAGCTTTTATTCTAAATGTAATAAAAAGCCAGTGGGGACTTTTAAACAGAAGATGCTATAAGTTGCAGTATTTTATAAAAGTCATTCTAGATGTTTCCGGGAGACTTGATGGAGAAGGGTCAGATAAAAATGGGGAGAGCATTAAGGAAACTTTATAGTAGTTGACGAAAGACTCGGGTGGCTTGAATTACAGTGGTGGTTACAGAGAGATCTATAGCTTTTTTTGCGGGGGGTGGGGGGGTTCTATAGCTTTTTGTTCATTTGTTTTAAGGAAGAACCTAAAGGGAATACTAGTGGATGAGAGAAAGGGAGGAAGCAAGGTTTTAGGAATGCTAGGGTACTAGTACCATTTATGGAGATGGGGAAAGACTGGGAAAAGATCATATTGGAGGGAGAAATTGAAACTCCTCTTTAGGATTATGTGTTTGTGATATCTAATAACCATGTAAGTGGAAGTGTTTAAAAAATAAGAAGATGTACAAATTTGAAGGTCAATGCTGGATACTTAAATTTTGGAAGCAGCAGCATATTTTTATGTAGTATTTAAAGCCAAAACACTGGGTACTATCACCCAGGAAAAAGAGTGTTGACTAAGGTCTAAGGCAATTTATAGATGGATTTCCTGATTATTTAGGGCAGAGAGTAGAATATGACCATCCTAGCCCTCCCTAGTTGACTTAATGGTTCTAGCCATTCACAGAGGCTAATTTAACTTTCTCAGTCTAATTTCCAGTTTCTAGGAGAAAGAATCTGATTCCCCAGCTTGGGTCTGTTGTTTGTCCCTGATCATATCACAGTGGCTGTGGGAATTGGAATAAAATTAGAGTTTAAACTGGTTCCTGAAAGTCAGCCCCTGTAAATTGTGTGGAGAATAGGGTTAAAGGTCCATTTCCCAGAGAAAGTGTGGTCAGTGGTTTCCAGGCTGAGCATTCACCTGAAAATTGATGCAATATGTTCTATAATCAGAAAAAAAATTGACTTTAATTTTGAATTAAAAATGTCATTAATACTCAGTGCATGGTCTTATTCTTAGAGTTGTCCACATCAGGTAAATATGACTACGATGTATCATATACCATCATGAAAGTGCTGAGAAACTCCTGCTACAACTTGTACAGATTACAGAAGTCACCCTAAAGTTTTCTCTAATTGGCTGAACTTTCCCTCTATTTTGTGTCCTCTGGAATCTCTTACAACTCGAGAGCTGACATGATGTCACATGTGGTGAAACATGCATCAGGGTTTCTGCTGGTCAGAGACATGGACTCAATACCTCTGTCAAAAGGTAAATCTAATGCCTGGGGACAGATTTTTTGAGAATTAAAACAACTTTAAGTCTGCCATTGTGGAAAATTTTGCTAGTCTTCACCATGACTGCTTTGCTTTCAGTTTTCTCTTCAATCTTTCAATACCTGTTCTTAAAATAGTTTTTTTTTTTTTTTAATATTTATTTTTTAGTTTTCGGCGGACACAACATCTTTGTTTGTATGTGGTGCTGAGGATCGAACCCGGGCCTCACACATGCCAGGAGAGCGCGCTACCGCTTGAGCCACATCCCCAGCCCCTTAAAATAGTTTTTTATTTTAATGTTTTTTCTTCCTTCCTTCCCCCGCCCCTTTCTTTTCTTTTGCATGTATGTGGGGTGGGAGTACTAACAGGAATTGAACTCAGAGCCTCGTGTACATGCTAGGGAAGAAAATTCTTATAATAAAATTTCTATGTTACCAAAAGTCAAGAACAAATTAACATGTTTCACACATTTATGCATATGATTAGTCTATCAGTCCCACTAAGCAGTAGTAGATAAGATGAAAGGGTTCTTCCTGATCAGAGCTTCTTCTACACAGGCCTAAGATATTTTTGTAAATTTGTTACTTCTCTCCCACCATTCAATCCTAATCATAGCTATAGTTGATACTATTTTCACTTATATATGTTTTTATCAAGGATAGGGCACTGTGTATACTGCCCACAGCTGTATACATGGTACACCCACTTTGGAAAAAGGGTTGGCATTATCTAGTACTGTTGAACTGGGTATGAATTTGCAGGAATTCTTTCACCTGTGTACAAGCAAACATGTATCAGAATATTTATAGCAGTATTAGTCATAAGAGTAAAAAATAGGAACAACTTAAATGTCTAATAATCAGAAAATGAATCTATATTGATATGTATTTGTAAAATGAAATGATAGTAGGCCATCACGTGTGGTGGTGTATGCCTTTAACCCCAGCAATTCAGGAGGTTGAAGCAGGAGGATTACAAGTTTGCAGTCAGCCTCAGCAATTTAGCAAGACCCCATCTCAAAAAATAAAAAGTGTTGGGAGTATAGCTTGGTGGTAGAGCACTCCTGGGTTCAATCTCCAGTAGTACAAGAGAAAAAGAAGACGGAAAAGGAGGAGAAAAAGTAATAATAGCAAAAAGTGAATAAGAATGACTCAGCTACTGTTAACTTGGATGAATTTCAAAAACAATGTTGAGCAAAAGAAGCCATCACAGAAGAGTAAATAAAGAATGGTTTAGTATGTGTAAATATGAAAATCAGGGAAGACTGAACTATGTATTGTTTAGGAATATATATATATATATATATATATATTTATATTTATATATACACACATATGTATATATGATAAATTTATAAAAAGAATTATAGGATAAATTTAAGTATCTTTATAAAATTATAAAGCAATGTAAGAGTTATTACTACAGCTTTTGCAGCAAGGCAGGAATAGGAAGAATAAAGGATTTATAGGGAGTTCTTAGTATACATATTAGTAATGTTCTATTTTTATTTATTTATTTATTTATAAAAGTCAATAGACCTTTATTTTATTTATTTATATGTGGTGCTGAGAATCAAACTCCGTGCCTCACACATGCTAGGCAAGTGCTTTACCACAGAGCTACAACTCCAGCCCTAAAGTTCTATTTTTTTTTAAGTTTGGTGATATGTGTACTTGTGCCCAGCTATATAAACAGGTTTTTTTAAAAAAAATATTTTTTTAGTTGTAGATGAACACAATATTTTTATTTATTTATTTATTTATTTATTTATTATGTAGTTCTGAGGATCGAGCCCAGGGCCTCACACATGTGAGGCAAGCACTCTACCACTGAGCTAAGACTACAGCCCTATATAAACAGTTTTTAAGAAAAATTTACATATCAAGCCTAGTGTGGTGGCACACACCTGTAATCTCTTTGATTTAGGAGGCTGAGATGGATGGTTGAAAATCTGATGCCAGCCTCAGCAACTTAGCAAGACTCTGTCTCAAAATAAAAAGGATTAAGGATGTAGTGACTTGGGTTCAACCTCTAGTGCCACAGAAAAAAAGAAAAAGAAATCAACAAAATTCACTCCTTTAAAGTATATGATTCAATAATTTTTAGTATTTCACAGAGGTGTGCATTCACTACCAATATCTAATTTTAGAGTATTTATCACCCTAAAAAGAAACCCTTTACAGGGCTGAGGGAGGGAGGAGAGGAGGAAAAGGGGAAACACGGGGGAACAATATTGGCCAAATTATATTGTTGTATTGTGTATAAATATGAACATGTAATAGCACTTTCTACCATTATGTATAATTATAATGCACCACCAAAAAATATGAGAAAAAAAAAGAAAAAAATGAGAAAAGAGTTTTTTGGGTTTTTTTAAATATTTATTTATTTTTTAGTTTTCGGCAGACACAACATCTTTGTTTGTATGTGGTGCTGAGGATCGAACCCGGGCCGAACGCGTGCCAGGCGAGCGCGCTACCGTTTGAGCCACATCCCCAGCCCCAAGAAAAGAGAAAAGAGTTTTTTTGTTTTTGTTTTTGATACTGGGGATTGAACTCAGGGGCACTCGACCACTAAGCCACATCCCCAGCCCTATTTTATATTTTTTATTTGGAGACAGGGTCTCACTGAGTTGCTTAGCACCATTGTGAGTTGCTCACAGCCTCTTGTTGAGGCTGGCTTTGAACTCCTGTCTCAGCCTCCGGAGCCACTGGGATTACAGGCATGTGCCACAGTGCCCAGCTGGGAAAAGATTTTTAAAAAGAAAGAAGAAACAAGTCCAGAAGTCGAAACAGGCAGATGCCAAGATCTTTAATTTGCATGATAATTTTACTTTGAGAAAAACTTAGTGAGATCCAGCTTTACCTGCCATTTATTTCAGTCCTCTTTGGAAGAAGCTATGTCATTGAAAATTGATACAAAAATGGGATATGTCTAATGTTTCACATGAGAGGAAAGAAACTGATATTTAAACCTCTTATTTATCTATTTATTTATTTTGTTATTTTTCATTAATAGTAAAGTATAATTTAATGACATTTAATCCTCTTAACTCACACTTTTATGTCGAGCTGGGTATAGTGGTGCAGGCCTGTAATATCAGAGGCTTAGAAGGTTTAGGCAGCAAGTTCAAAGCCACTCTCAGCAATTTAGCAAGGCCCTAAGCAACTGAGTGTGACCTGTCTCAAAATAAAAAATAGTAAGGGCTGGGGATATGACTCAGCATCCCTGGGTTCAATCTCTGGTACAAAAAAAAAAAATCATTAATCAGTAATGATGTCAATGATTTAAATATGAGCTCCGTTTTTTTTTAAAATATATCTTTTTAAAGTTGTAGTCAGACACAATACCTTTATTTTATCTTGCTTATTTATTTATTTTTAGATATTTATTTTTTGTTGTAATCGAACACAATATCTCTATTTTATTTATGTGGTGCTGAGAATCAAACCCAGGGCCTCTCATGTGCAAGATGAGCACTCTACCGCTGAGCCACAACCCCAGCCCTGTTTATTTATTTTTATGTGGTGCTGAGGATCAAACTCAGTGCCTCGCACATGCTAGGTAAGAGCTCTACCCCTGAACCACAACCCCAGCCCATGAGCTCTGGGGTTTTAAGGTAATTCCCATTTACGGGGAGATCAGAACTGACACAGGCCAGTGAACTCATGTTGCCCAGGGAGATCTAACTTCTTCTGCCTAGAACAAATAGAGGCTGTATCCCAAAGATGCAATTTGGGAAGAGTTTATCCAAACCTTCAAAAGGAAATGAGATGACTCTTGGTAATCAGGAAAGGTTTTTATGCTTTTCCTTATGAGGGTTTTGAAAATAATCATGGGCACAACCTTGTATAAATTCAAATTATCTACTAAGGAGGAAAGATAGATTAAAAAGAAAGATTAAGGGCTGGGGGTGTGGCTCAAGCGGTAGCGCGATTGCCTGGCATGCGTGCCGCCTGGGTTCGATCCTAAGCACCACATACAAACAAAGATGTTGTGTCCGCTGATAACTAAAAAATAAACATTAAAAAATTCAAAAAAAAAAAAAGAAAAGAAAAGAAAAGAAAGATTGTAGAAAAAAATCCCTACTTGACATTTTTATTGACAGAATGTAATTTGCAGAGAGGAGGTCATCTTGGCTCATGCTGGAAGGGTAGGGGGAATCCTCCAGAGGTCCATTAGTGGTCATGGCACATACTTCCTAATTCAAGTTAGACTCATGCTCTTTGTATAAGATGTGATGTGAGATCTGATGGGTTAAAAAGATTACATTAAAAATGTTTCCAATTACCTTCTTCTGGGACTTTAGGTAAGAATATAAAAACTCAACTACCCTCTACCAAGATGAGCCGACAGGAACTAGAGGACAGTCTCTTTCGACTTCAGGAAGATCACATCTTGTTGAAGGAGCTTTTTTGGAAGCAAAAGGATGAGATCAAAAGGTACCTATAAGCTGGGATTGCGGCTTAGTGGTAGAGTGCTTGCCTGGCACATTCGAGGCACTGGGTTTGATTCTCAGCACCACATAAAAATAAATAAATAAAGTATATAATTTGATTTTTTTTAAAGTACCTACAGCCCTGGCATGATGGCATACACTTGTAATCCTAGCATCTCAGGAGGTTGAGGAAGGAGGATTGTAAATTTGAGGCCAGCCTCTGTAATTTAGCAAGACCCTGCCTCAAAAATAAAATAATAATAATAATAATAATAATAATAATAACAACAACAACAACAACAACAACAATAAAGGCTGGGAAAGGGGCTGGGGATGTGGCTCAAGCGGTAGCGCGCTCGCCTGGCGTGCGTGCGGCCCGGGTTCGATCCTCAGCACCACATACAAACAAAGATGTTGTGTCCACCGAAAACTAAAAAAAAAATAAATAGTAAAAATTCTCTCTCTGTCTCTCTCTCTCTCACCTCTCTCTTTAAAAAAATAAAATAAAATAAGATTATTTAAAAAAAAAAGAAAGGCTGGGAAAGTAGCTCAGTTCAATCTCCAGTCCCATAAAAAAATAAAAATAAAATAAATCGGGGCTGGGGATGTGGCTCAAGCAGTAGTGCGCTCGCCTGGCATGCAAGTGGCCCAGGTTCGATTCTCAGCACCACATACAAACAAAGATGTTGGGTCCGCCGAAAACTAAAAAAATAAATAAATATTAAAAAAAGAATAAAATAAATCATATTGATTCTTTACTGTGTACAAGCATGTGTAAGTGATTTATGAACATATATTGATGAATTTAATATTATAAATACTATTAACTCATAGCATGAAGGAAGTATTATTATGAGAAAAGAGGACACAAATAGTCAAATAACTTGCTTGAGATTACCCCTAATGAGTAGCAGAGTTGAAAGTTCTTACTCAAAAATATGCCATCTACAGTGACCTTATTGTAGGTTATTGTCTTTCAAAGGTGGATCTCTGGGGTGAAACCTGGAAAGTAATCTAAGATGGGGATGAAGAGAGATAAACAGATGGATAAACAGATGGAAGGATGGGAGTTCTGAAAGTCTACCTCTAAAGACTTTTTGGTTTTTGTTTTTTGTACTGGGGACTGAATCCAGGGGTGTTCTACTACTGAACCACATCCCTAGTACTTTTTATTTTTTTATTTTTTGGGGTACTGGGGATTGAACTCAGGGCACTTGACCACTGAGCCACATCCCTAGCCCGATTTTGTATTTTATTAGAGACAGGGTCTCACTGAGTTGCTTAGCATCTCGCTAAACTGCTGAGGCTGGCTTTGAACTCTTGATCCTCCTGCCTCTGCCTCCCGAGCCGCAGGGATTACAGGTGTGTGCCACAGTGCCCAGCCCCATAGTCCTTTTTATTTTATTTTTAAATTTGGAGATAGGGTCTTGCTAAACTACTGAGGGTGGCCTGGAACTTGGGATCCTCCTGCCTCAGGCTCCCAAGTTGAGTAACAGATTACAGGCCTATGCGACTGCATCCAGCTTCCAAGACAACCAGGAACACACCTGTAGTAGGTCAAGCTGGGTTTATTATTCATTACAGTTTCAGAAAGAGAAAATGTATATCATAGAGATCTAAAGGTATCACAATAAATATATTAGATTCTATTACAATATCTGTGCTTTGGTTGAGTGATTCAAAGAAATAGGATCCTCCTCTAAATGCTTCAGATTTTGAGTTATCTGAAGGCAGCCGAGATAGCAGACATGGTGGTACAAATTTGTAAATCCCAACGACATGGAAAGCTGAGGCACCAGGATTTGAGGCCATGCTGCGCAATTTAGCAAGACCCTGTGAGAAATAAAAATGGATGGGGCTGGGTGCAGTGGCAGATGTGTACCACTGCACCCAGCCAGTTATTATTTCTATGTTTATTTATGGATGAGGAAACTGAGCGTAGAAAGTTAAAGTTTCATGCCCACGACTACATTTCTAAATGTCAGAATAGGCAGGCAGTATTGCCTTGGTTGGTTCAGGCTGCCGTAACAAAATATCATAGACTAGGTAGCTTAAGCATCAGAAATTTATTTTCTTAATTCTACAAGCTAAATTAGGGTGACTGTATGGCAGCACTCTGGTGAAGGCTATCTTCCTTGCTTGCAGACTGCCTCATTTTTGCTGTGTCATCACATGGTGGGGCAGAAGGCAGGGGTTGCTGGGGACTGGGACAGGACCCTCCTTCTCTTGTAAGGTCACAGTTCTACCAGATTGATGCCCCCTCTTATGACCTCAATTAGCCTTAATAACCTTGTAACAACACCATCTTCACATACAATCATGTTGAAGTTTAGGGATTTGTGACAAGAATACAATTCAATCTATAGCACAGTGATTCCATAGAATATGATGATAATGGTAAAACTCATGATAGCAAATATCCATAATAGTAAGGTAAGTATCAGTATATACTAGAAACTATAAAAGAGTAATCTTTAATTTGGGACACACATATATAAAGGGAGGTATAGACAAATGGAGCTAAAAATAAATATTAAAATTATGGCCAGGTCTGGTGATGCATGCCTATAATCCCAGCTATTTGGGAGGATGAGGCAAAAGGATTGCAAGTTTTAGGCCAGCTTTGATAACTTAATGAGTAGAGCTCCTGTCTCAAAAATAAAAGGGGTTGGGGATGTAGCTCAGTGGTAGTGTTCCTGAGTTTAATCCCCACTTCCAAACCAAACAAAAAAACTACTTATATCTATCATTGTTTAAAAATTGGTATTTTTATTTGTTTTATGACTATAATTCAGTACAGAATCATATGTATGTGTATATATATATATTTGTGTATATATATACGAATACAAATTATATATGTGTAATTATATATGTATACATACAAATTAAATTATATTACATATATAGATATTAAATGCCTATATACATTTATAAATTATATATGTATAATGTATGTATGTATATAAACACACACACATATATATATATATGTACATATACATTTGGGGGGTACTGGAGACTGAACCCAGGGTGCTCAACCACTGAGTCACATCTCCAGCCCTTTTCATTTTTTGCTTTGAGACAGGGTCTCATCAAGTTGCCGTCTGGCCTCAAATTTATGATCCTGCTGCCTCAGCCTCCTGAGTCTCTCCAACACAGGCGTGCACCATCATGCCCGGCTATATTTAATTTTAAAATAAGTATACATAGAAATACGGTGAAGGAGTGGTCCAATATTTTTTACTAAGATGAATGTGTGATCAATACAATGGAACGGACAAAGATGGACACCATGATGTCCCCTGCCCTCAAGTTACAGGTGTAATCAGGGATAGAAAATTAATTTTTAAGTGTAAATAACCGACCACAGTAGATTAATTAATATCACAGATCAATTCATAATTATGTGTCACCAAATAAGCTGCAGAAACATCCATTATAAAGGAAGAAACCACGTGTTCTATTTTGCCATAGGCTGAGGACGACCTTACTCCGATTGACCGCCTCTGGTCGAGACCTGCGGCCGGATGCGGCAGCGGCGCAGTTCTCAAAGCCCACAAGGCGGCGGCGGAAAGCGGAGTGGCGGCAGCGCTTCCCCGTGCATCAGAGCCAAGCCATGAATCAGCGTCCGCCCGTGCACCAGCGCCAAACCCTGCGCCAGCGCGCCCCGGTGCACCAGCGCCCTCTGACGCAGAAGTTGCAAGCACAGGTTCAGCGTCTCAGTCTGTCTGCTCCGGGTGGTGGCCAGGCTCGGGTCCACGTGGGACGCAGAAGACTCCATACCGCTGGTGGGAGGGTGCCGGAGAAATCTCAAGAGGGTGAGGCTTAGGATCATATCTCCAATAAAACACTGGGAAGGAGTGATGTGCCAGCCACGTTACCCTCCGTGTTTTATCCCTCCCACTTCCCCATGTTGTTCCTTTGTTTGGATGTCTGGATCAAAATTCTCATTTTAGGGGTGGGCATGTGGTTCAGTGGTAGAGTGCTTGGGTAACAAGCAAGAAGCCCCGGTTTGCATTTGCATAACTTCTATCTTCTAGCTCTTTCTGGAATACTGCTGAAAGGAGAATCACACAACAGGAAATGAGAGCTTTGCTAGTGGGTCTGCAACAGACTAGAAAAGAGATGTAGGGAGCAGGGGCTGTGGCTCTGCAGTAGCGCACTTTCCTGGCAGGTGTGAGGCACTGGGTTCCATTCTCAGCACCACATATAAGCGGGGAAAAGCCTATAAACAACTAAAATTAAAAAAGAAAGAAAGAAAAGAGATGCAGATGCAACATTTTGGTCCTACTCAGGTGTGAGGGAAATAATCTTATCAGGGATCCTCCTGCATGTCAGGCTATGTGGCTGAAGAGCAAGGATTTCCAGAACAGTTTGCCTCTAAACCCCAGGTTTAGGGAAGTGGACTCCTTTGAAACCCTGCTCAAATAAATCTAAGTTCCTTCTTCCAAGAAAAATACACAATACACATAGATAAACTTTGCATATGATTTCCATTGCTTCCGAGATTACCAAAGCCCATCACTGACTGTCTAGAATTAGAAGTCAGGCTGCAAATGACCCATGCTGGTTGCAGTGACTCCTTTTCCTATATTCCAAGTGGCTGAGTCTGTGACCTTTCTCTGAACCCAGTGCTGAATCTCCAGAGAAGACACCCCATCTCCATGGGCCTAATTCAGGGATGAGAGCCTAGGGGAAGGAAATCTAAATACAGCATTAATTTAAATTCTCTTATTAGTAAGTACTCATTTGTTTTGATTAGTATAGTCCTATGCTACTCCAAATAACTAAACTTTTATAAAAACATCTGTAAGTAGAAAAATAGAATGAGTCTAAATTACAGTTCCTTGAAACAGTTCAGCTTTTTGGGCACCCATGGTGTATCAGGCACTAGAGATAAAAATGAGATGTGATTAGGCACGCAGTCCCTGCCCTGGATAAGCTTGTACCTTTCCTTCTTCCCATTTACACTCACGCACCTGAGTCTGAAGTCTCACTGACTTAAGAAACCTGTAGTTGAAGGTCAGTGTAAGAGTAAGAAGACCTTCTCCTTTGGGGCCTGTTGTCACATAAGGACTTCCCTCAGGTCTCAAGCCTCCCTGGGTCCAGCAGTTGGTGTTCCAGTTTGAGCATCTGGTGTTCTGGAGGGTATTGCTGTTGTAGGGACAAAGGAGGCAAGGCACCGAAGATAGCAGGAAACAGTTTTATTTGGCTGCAGCCAGGTTCAGAGGGTACAGCCTTTGCTGTAATCAATCAATCCCCTGAACCCCGAGTTCAGGGAGTTTCAGAGTTTTATATCTAGCATGTAAGGGGAGGGGCTCAGAAGTTCACAGTCTGCAGAAGTTCACATAAAAGCAGCTTTTTCTTTCACTGTTCTGGGCAAGTTAACTCTTCAAGGACAACACCTGAGAAGGGGAGAGCTTCATCTCCCCTTTCTTTCCTCCCTCTGCCAGCTGTTACCATGGGCCCATTTGTAACTTATCTTAAAAATGTAGACATCTCTGTGAAGCCCAGCTCAAGGCCAGAGGCCTTGTTTGCACATTTCTTCAAAGTTCTATACTGGATACGTTTGTGAAAAAGTAGTAAGGGGGTATCCAGCACCGGGAGTGCTGGTATCTTCCTGGCCAGTGGCCAAGCTAAACAGGGCATCAGGAAAATAAAAATTTATCCATATTGATCTTTTTCTCAGAGACTCTTTGGCTGACAGTCCCAAAATCAGCCATGGTGAGAATTCCTGGAGAAGCCCAGTTAAGACTTTTTTCTGAGGAGAGAGGGGGTGCCACTTCATTGCATCTTCTGCTTACACTTTCAGGGTCAAGAGACAGGCTGAGCTACACAGCCCCTCCCACATTTAAGGAGCAGGTGACAAATGAGAAAACCAGAGATGAAATAACCAATGAGCCCAGCAGCGAACTGTGAGTTCTTTTCAATTATTTCACACTGTTACCCCTGCAGCTTTAATTGGAAATGCATCATTTAGGGAACAAGTGAATGTTGGTGATTTCTAGCATAGAGAAGATGAACATCAACCCTAGGTTAAATTCCAATTTCAATGTTTAAAAATGGAAAACAAGCATCTCCCTGTCCTCTGAGGAAAGGAAAATAAAGGTCCTTTCCTCAACTGAAGATATTCCCTTTCCCCTTTATATTTTTACCCTTTATGTTATAATTCATTTATGTATCCATTTGGCATTTGAAGGCCATATTTTGTAAGATTATTCTCTACAAGTACCAAGATTACCAAATCTTTTAATGTCTTAGAAATATGACAGCCTAATTCTAAGTCCTATAACAATAATTTCTATTTCTCCCTTTCATGTTTAATGTTCCTAATTCTAACAGAATAATTTCTTTCAACAAAGTAATAATTATGGTTAAACTCACTGGTCTATCCCTGTTTACCAGTGCCCACATTATGGCCAACAATACTATGCAAGTGGAAGAACCACCCACACCTCCTGAGAAAATATGGTCCCAAGATGAAAATTTTGAACAGAGAAACTCATTGGAGTGTGCTCAGAAGGCTGCAGAGCTACGGTAAGAATTTGACTTTCCATGCCTCAAACCATAAGGAATTGGAAAAGCAAGAGATTCTCATTTATATCTTTCTTCCGTCTCAGAGACAAAAAAAGAATGGTTAGGATTAAATTCAACCTGAGAAGTAGACCTGGAGTCCCTCCCAGGTTAAGAAATGAATTAACTTTAAGGGGATGCTTATGAATAATAGATTTGCTGCTTTACTTCATTGAAAGAAAGCTATTTCATCACCAGATAGGAGTTCTCAGCTCTCACTGTGCATCAGTCCCTAGAGAACTTTTTTAAAAAATAGATTTTATTTTTTAGATGTCCTCCTGTTACTGAAGACATTTTTTGTTTTGTTTTTCTGTTTCACACCAAAATTGAGCAGAATATACAGAGTTCCCTCATATACATGTCCATACATATACAATACAGCCTCCCCAGTATCAACATCCCATGCCAGACTGGACATTTGTTACGGTGCACCTACATTAACATATCATTATGACTCAAAGGCTATAGTTTACATTAAGGCTCATTCTTGGTGTTGCACATTCTACAAGTTTGAACAAATGTATAAAGATATATATCCACCATTATAGTATCATACAGACTTTATTCGTTACCCTAAAAATCCTTTGTGCTCAACTTATTCATGTCTCTTTCCCCAAACCCCTGACAACTATTGATCCTTTTACTGTTTCTATAGTTTTATCTCTTTTTCCAGAATGTCATATAGTTGCAACCCTTTCACTTGGTAATATGCATTTAAGATTTCTCCAGGTCTTCTCATGGCTTAATAGCTCATTACTTTTTAATGCTGAATGACATTCTGTTATCTGGATGTACTAAAGTTTATTTATCCATTTAGATACTGAAAGCTATTTTGGTTGCTTCTAAGTTTGGGCATTATTAAAGCTCCTATGCTGCCAGGTGAGGTAGTGCAGACCTCTGATTTCAGCAACTCAGGAGGCTGACACAGAAGGATCACAAGGCCAGCCTGGGCAACTTTTGTAAGACCCTGTCTCAAAATAAAAGACAAAAAGTTCTGGGGATGTATCTCAGTGGTAGAGTGCTTGCCTAGCACTTTCACTCTGTGAAAGGCCCTGAGTTTGATCCTAGTATTGCAAAGAAGAAAGAAAGAAAGGAGTGGAAAGAGAAAGAAAGAGAATGAGAGAAAAGCAAAAAGATGCTACAACATTGTGTGCAGGTTTTTGTGTGAGCACGTGTTCAGTATGGAGATCTTTTAAAACCACAAACCATGGGCCCCACCTCAAAGATTCTTTTGTAATTACTCAGGGGTGGGGTTCTGGCAGTATTTAAAGATCTCTCCAGGTGGCTCTAATGAGCAGCACAGAGGAGAGCCCAAATCCTTCCCAATATCTTTCAAATGATAATGAAAACGAAATCGCCTAAGTTCAGAAATAATCACCCCTCATTTGTCTATATTCACGTCCTCTGGTTTCTCTAAGGAAACAAGTCTTAGACTTGGACTTTCTGGATTTATAAGAAATGGCAAACACCATCATTTAAAAAACATAGAGGCAGAGACAGGAGGATCATGAGTTCAAAGCCAGCCTTAGCAATTTATTTTTTTTCCAGAGAGAGAGAGAGAGAGAGATTTTCAATATTTATTTTTTAGTTTTCAGTGGATACATCATCTTTGTTTGTATGTGGTGCTGAGGATCGAACCCGGGCCGCATGCATGCCAGGCAAGCCCGCTACCGCTTGAGCCACATCCCCAGCCCCAGCCTTAACAATTTAGCAAGGCCAGGCCCAAAGCAATTTAGCCGGACCCTGTCTCAAAATAAAATATAAAAAGGGCTGGTGGTATAACTCAGTGGTAAAGCACCATTGGGTTCAATCCTGGTACCAATTCCACCCCCCCAAAAAAAAAAACCCACAAAAAACAACAAACAAACAAACAACAACAAAAACAGAGTTACAGCTGGGTGCAGTGGCACACACCTATAATCCTAGCAACTTGGAAAGCTGAGGCAGGAGGATTGAGAGTTTGAGGCCAGCCTCAGCAATTTAGCAAGGTCCTAAGCAACTTAGTGAGACCCTGCTTAAAATTAAAAAATAAATAAATAGCCAGGTGCGGTGGCACATGCCTGTAATCCCAGAGATTCGCAAGACTGAGGCAGGAGGATTGTGAGTTCAAAGCCAGGCTCAGCAACTGAGTAAGGGCTTGAGCAATTTAGCAAGACCCTGTCTCAAAATAAAACATGAAAAAGGGCTGGGGATGTGGCTCAGTAATAAAGCACCCCTGTGTTCAATCCATAGTTCAAAAAAAAATAAGCAAAGAAATAAAAACTAGTTACAATGTTTTGTTTTGTTTTTTTCAAAATACAAGAGTTTAAGGTTAGTAGAGTCTCAAATCTCAACTGGCATGAGAGAAAATAGAAAAAAAGAGATTATTTACCAGACTGAACTCCCTGTTCTGGTCTGTTGTGGGAGAGTATGGAAAGCAAGGCATGTGAGAACAAAGTCCTTGCTTTACTGTCAAGGAGCAAAGGTGCTTAACTCTGTTTGCAGAATTATCTTCTTTCTGCAGCAATTCCATTAAAGAGAATGTGGAACTGATTCGACTCAAGAAGCTCTTACATGAAAGGAACACCTCCCTGGCAGTGACAAAAGCACAATTAACTGAAGTTCAAGAGGTGAGTTGCTATCATCCACTGAGCTTTCAAGGGGGGAAAATAGCAATTACTTCAGAAATCAGTATTATTTTCTCCAATTTATATATCGGAGACCACAATTTAGGGAGACTAAGTTACTTGTTTAAGGTCACACAATTTAAAGGTTATATTCAAATGCTATCCTTTGTGACTCACAAACAGTCCATCCTTTTCCCGGTATTTCCCATTATTTCTGTTAGAAGGTTGGACCTTACCTGCTAAGGTGGAATTAAGCGGACTTTACATGTGTCAGGGTTAAGGTCCCAGCCAAAAACAACACCAAAATGTATTAAATTTGAGAGTCAAGAGCAGTCACAGGCATGGCGTGGTTGTGCACACCTGTAATCCCAATGACTCTGAAGGCTGAGGCAGGAGGATTACTAGTTCAAGGCCAGTCTCAGCAATTTAGTGAGTCCCTGTCTCAGTACTGGGGTAGGGGGAAAAAAAAAGCAGTCACAGGGAAGGAATAGAAGTCTGCTTTTCCTAAGCACTGTGTGCTGGATTTTGTGCTAGACAGCTCTGTCCCAGATACTTACAGTCATGATCTCATTTCATGTTGACAACAATGCCCCAGGTAAGTACATTTAGTGGACAAGGGAACTAACTGTACCCTCAAATACAATAAGCAACTTACTCAGGTTGTAAAATCAGTAAGAGGCAGAGCAGGATTTGAGTCAGGCTGGCACCAAAGCTCTTTTCTCATTACCACACATTAGAAACTGATACCTAAATGGCAAAAATAAGGCATCAAAGATCTAAGGAATACTTCAGCAACATTCTTCTATTGACCGAATACGTATTGAATACTAGGACCAAACAAAGCATTGGGATACAACGACTACAACAATGAGTAGTAGTACAGCTCCTGCCTTTAAGGATCTTTATAGAAGAGAAGAACAGCTTATAAACAAGCACAATTATCTATATTCAGGGTATGAGAGGGGATGTAAAGTAGATTAGTCAGACCCACCAGAGGATGGGGTGCATGATCAGAAAGGACTCATAAAGAAATAAATTTGTGAGCTAAATGCTGAAATACTGAAAAATCATTAGCTTGGTAACAAGTGTGCAAGAGAGGAAAGGGCTTTATGGAGTAAGAGTAGAAACCAAGGTACAAGGGTAGAAACATCAGGAACCAGGTCATGGAGTCCATAGTAGGAAGTTAGACTTTATCCTACAAACAATGGGGAGCTGGAGTAGGGTTTAAGCAACTCAGTAATACTGATCAGGATCAGCTTTTTGGCACTGAGGATCGAACCCTGTACCTCACACTTGCTAGGCAAGCACTCTACCACCAAGCCACAACCCCAGCCCCTGATTAACTTTTTTTCTCCCCCCAAAATCCTTTAGCCTTCTTAAAAAGGTCTGAAATATTTTGAAATGCGTTTTAGTAAAGAGCGCCTTTACAAAGCTGTTATAAGGCAGTACTAAGTATGAATTGTGGGCAGTAAGAATATAGATAACTGTTATTAACGTCTATATACCTTTCCAAAATCTTTGATGTCTCAGAAATTACAAGGAAAGATTATTCCAGCAGCATAATGAATGACAGATTGTCTGATACAAACCAGAGGCAAAGATATCAGGTAAAAGACCGCTGCAGGTGTCCCAAGGAAACAGAATAAGGGTCTCAACAGGAATGAGATAGAAAGAGAACTGTGGAGAAAGGAATTTTATTGCAAGAAGCCCAGGAAGTAGAAGAATGGGCTTCTTTACCGAAGAGGAATAAGGGAAAAGGAGAAATGAAAGGCAACTCTTGGATGCCTGGCCTCCCACAGGTAACCAGGTGCTTGTGTCCTCCTTGAAACTGGATCTGGCTAGTTATTACTGCTTAGGTAGGTCAATTCTGATAAGGGCTACAGGATTCTTTTTCTTTTTTGGTATTGGAGATTCAACCAAGAGACCCTCTATCACTAAGCCGCACATCCAACCTTTTTTTTTTTTTGTATCAGGTATTGAACTCAGGGGCACTTGATCACTGAGCCACATCCCCAGCGCTATTTTGTATTTTATTCAGAGACAGATTCTCACTGAATTGCTTAGTGCTTTGCTTTTACTGAGGGTGGCTTTGAACTTGTGATCCTCCTGCTTCGGCCTCCCTAGCCGCTGGGATTACAGGAGTGCGCCACTGTGCCCCACTCCTTTCTATTTTAAATTTTTTTAAATTTTGTTTTGAGATGGGACCTTACTAAGTTGCCTAGCCTGCTCTCCAGTTTAAGATCCTCCTTCTTCAGCCTCCCAAGAAGCTGGGATTACAGCGATGTGCTATCACCTCTGGTGGGCTACAGGATGTTTACAAGGTCTATGTTTTATAGAGTATTATGTATGTCCTTTTGTTTTTTTTCAGTCTAGTTAATTTTGGTAGCATTTAAAGGATGTAAAAATATGGGAAGAAGATAATCTAAAGCTGTATCAGTAAGTGGCTATTTTTATATTTTGGTATTTTTTAAAAAATCCATAATATTTTTTTAAATGCATTTTTTTTAAAGAGAGAGAGAAAGAAAGAGAGAGAATTTTAATATTTATTTTTTAGTTTTCGGCGGACACAACATCTTTGTTTTGTATGTGGTGCTGAGGATTGAACCCGGGCCGCACGCATGCCAGGCGAGCGCGCTACCGCTTGAGCCACATCCCCAGCCCCATAATATTTCTCCATTGCATTGAAGGAGAAAAAGAAAAAGAGAGACTGGGGTGTTTAGTGGTAGAGTACTTGCCTAGCAGGTGTGAGGCCCTGCTTTATGTCCCTAGTACCACAAAACAGCAAAATAGGAAAAAGCCATTCTAAATTAAATTTCCTTACCTTTTTTGATGGTGGGAAATACTAGTAGAAATGATCTGAAATGGTAATTAATCATCCACAGTTTTTGAAAGTGCAGGTTTTGGAATTTGTTTTCCCAAAACCTTTCCAGTTTTGCATTTGAATGCATGCTAAAATAAATTTGTATTCTCTTAATCCCTTGGAAGTGAAATGTAGTGTAAGCAGCACCAACTCCTGTCCAACAGGCTGGGTTAAAGTCCCACCTCTGCCTATAATAATACCTACCTCTCATATTTTTTACAAAGATTAAATGAGATGATATATGTGAAACAATTATAATGCAGATAATTGCAATATAACAACTATATATAACAATTATAATGCAGATAATGAAACATTAATGTATATATAACACATAGTAACTGCTCAACTAATCACATTGTTATTATTATTTTTTTAAAATATTTTTTATTTGCTAATGGATCTTTATTTTATTTATGTATATGGTGCTGAGAATCAAACCCAGTGCCCCACACATGCTAGGCAAGCACAACTCCAGCCCCACAACTGTTATTATGATGAGTGTTTCTTTTCCCTAATATTGAAAAGAGACTGAAGTCTTTCTGAAGCATACTGAGTAAAAACAGCTTCTAGCTTGGGCTGGGGCTGTAGCTCAGTGGCAGAGCGCTTGTCTAGCGTGTGTGAAGGACTGGGTTTGATCCCCAGTGCCATATAAAAATAAACAAATAAAATAAAGATATTCTGTCCATCTACAACTACAAAAAAAAATAGTTCCCAGTTTAAGATTAAACTTTTTCTTGGATAATACACCAAAGACAATGCAAATGTAAATAAATGACATTTTTTCCTTTTCTGTTTGCAGTACTAGGGATTGAATCCAGGACCCCTCACATGCTGAGCAAGTGTTCTACCACTGATTTACATCTCAGCCCTTTTTTAAAAATTTTATTTTCAGACAGAGTCTTGCTAGTGGTCCATGCTGGCCTTGAATTTGTGATTCTTCTGCCCTAACCTTCTGAATAGTTGGGATTACAGGCATGATTGCATGCCTGGCCCCTTCATTTATTTTTTTTTAAAGGAATGGTATAATTGATTATATTCACAGACTTCCTGGCAAGATAGGGCAGGGGGAGGGCTGGGGATGTGGCTCAAGTGGTAGCGTGCTAGCCTGGCGTGTGTGTGGCCGGGGTTTGATCCTCAGCACCACATACAAACTAAGATGTTGTGTCTGCCGAAAACTAAAAAATAAATATTAAAAAAAAAAATTCTCTCTCTCTCTTTGAAAAAAAAAAAAAAGATAGGGCAGGGGGAAAACAGCAACAATTAATAAGTAGGTACACAAATGGACTTCATTTATGGAGTTTTTTAGAATATCTTTTAAGATAAATATTAAACATTTGAATTATAGATAAAAATACCAAACTTATAAAATTAATAAATCAGTAAAATAATTCATTTTTCTTTCTTCTAGGCATATGAAACCTTGCTCCAAAAGGTACTTAATAAAGATTCTTTGAATCTGTTTCTTAGTAATTAGAGTAGTCAAACCAAGTAACATAACACTAGAATTTAGTCAACTATATGACTATTATGATCATATAGTTTCTATTAAGACAAATAATGCTAGTACTAGTATTTATGCACTGTTTTCATTAAAATTGAAATATGAGACCTGAGTTGAGAAATATTTTGAATGGTATCTATCTTTCAGCTTATTGTTACAGAGAATTATAGCATTTGCTCAAAAATTCCCAAGAGAGCTGGAGCACACCTGTAATCCCAGCAATTTGGGAGGCTCAGGCAGGAGGATTGCTAGTTCAAAAAAATAGCCTCAGTGGACTGGGGTTGTGGCTCAGTGGTAGAACTCTTGCTTCGCATGTGTGGGGCACTGGGTTCAATCCTCAGCACCACATAAATAAATAAAATAAAGGTATTGTGTCCATCTACAACTAAAAAAATAAAAATAAAAAATAAATAGCCTCAGCAAAATAGCAAGGCCCTGTCTCAAAATTATAAAAAATAAATAAAAGGGCTGGGGATGTATGTCAGTTGTTACATGCCCCTGGGTTCAGTCCCTGGTTGGTACCAAAATAAAAACAAAATTCCCAAAAGTATTTTTTAGCATGCATGAGGTACTAAGATATAACAAAGATGTTACAGATATTCTCTGATGTTATTAGATATACAGCCCTATTCACCACTGTAAGTGGGGTGCCAATAAAGCTCAGTGAATATCCCTACGAATTATGAAGGCAAATTATGACTAAGCATGACCAGTCCAAGCTGCACCTCACCAAGAGGAAGGAGTCCACCATAAAAATGCTCATAACTTCTAAAGCTAACATGTCATTTTCTCAGGTGCAAATGAAGAAATAGATCATTATAAAAACTAATCAGATATTTTAGAAAGTTAAAGCAGCTTTGGAAAATACCACCTAATTTAGAACCAGGAGTTAATTTGAACCTTGGGGAAATTCAGGCTCCATTGACAAATTATAGTTGCTCAGAATGGAAAATCCTCCCTAAAGGGGAAACTGTACTTTCAGAGAAAGGCTATGGTGTGAAATGAGGTTAACTTACAGTGTAAAGGTAATATGCAACTCATTGAGGTCATTCTTTGGGACATCCACCTTGGAATACCAGTGTTACTGGGAGTGATATGATCATTCCCAGAGCAACTTTCCTCTGGCCCCAGAATCAAGGAATCCTGAGTGCAGCCCATGATGCCCTACTCAGCCAAGTGAATGAGCTCAGAGAAGAACTGAAGGAGGAAAGCAAGAAGGCTGTGAGCTTGAAGAGCCAACTGGAAGATGTGTCTATCTTGCAGACAACTCTGAAGGAGGTAAATAATAATTATAAGAAATTGCCATCCAATGTGCTGCATTCCAATTTCAGAGATGTTGAAATGTGCATCTTTGCAACACTGTGGTGTTTTATTTTTATTTTTTTTAAATGAAAACAATGAGGTTCTAAGTGGTTAAATCTTTGATTTAAGATTATTGCATCATTAGAGGAAAACCTGGGACTTATGCGATCTGTTCTCCAAAGTCCTTGCTTTTTCAATATTTTGCTGCTTCCCCAACAGTAGGAATCCAGACATCAGGAAAACTTCAGAGAATTCTCATCAATTCCCATAAAAGTCTCTAGCCCACCATCAGTTCATTTTAATTTTTCTAGTCAATGGCTCCTCAATAGACAAGGGAGAGGAGCACAAAAAAGGTGTCATCCAAGCCTCATCCTGCAATGGGAAAGGGAAAACCTGTGCAGAGCAATGAAATTTAAAGTTTTATCACAAGGACTTTTACATCATTCTTAGTTTCAGGAGAGAGTCGAAGATTTGGAGAAAGAGCGAGAATTGCTGAATGACAATTATGACAGACTCTTAGAAAAGTGAGTACCAAGTTTGGGTCTCAGGGCATTTTTTGCTGTAAAAAAGAAAGTTGTATAAAATGCCTCTCGAATTTTAAACATAATATCTAACATTAATAAATATATTGAGAAACTGGTATTCAATATTGTTAGAATATAAATTGAATATAATCTGACATCTTTTTCTTTTTTTTGGTATTGGGGATTGAACCAACGGGGGGCTTAACAACTGAGTCACATCCCCAGTCCATTTTATTTTTTATTTTGAGACAGGGTCTTGCTAAGTTGCTTAGGGCCTTGCTAAATTGCTGAGATTGGCTTTGAACTTGTGATACTCTTACCTTGGCCTCCCCAGCTGCTGGGATTACAGACATGCACCTATTGCACCTGGTGACACAATCTTTTTGAAAGAGAATTATACACTATTTTTTTCTATTTTTACACTTTTTATTGATGCATTATAGTTGTACATAATGATGGGATTGTCGTTACATATTTGTACATGCATACAATATAACAATATAATTTAGTGAAATCACTTCCTAGTACTTTCCCTTTCCCTCCTGTTCCTCAACTCTACTGACCTTTGATTTTCATGAGATCCCTGAATCCCTCACCTTTCTTTTTCTTTTTCTTTTCTAGCTTCCATATAGGAGAGAAACATATGATCCTTGACCTTCTCAGTTTGGTTTCTTTTTTTTTTTTTTCTTTTGGTGCCAGGGTTTGAACCCAGCGGCATTTAGCCGCTGAACCACATCCTCAGCCCTTATTTAGAAACAAGGTCTTGCTGAGTTGCTTAGTGCCTCACTAAATTGCCGAGGTTGGCTTTGAACTCCTCCTGCCTCAGCCTCTCGAGCTACTGGGATTATAGGCATACACCATCGTGTCCTGACAGTTTGTCTTATTTTGTTTGACATAATGATCTCTAGTTCCATCTATTTTCCAGCAAATGACACAATTTCATTTTTCTTTAAGGCTGAATAAAATTCCTTTGTGTATATATACCACATTTTCTTTGTCCATTCATCTTTTGATGGACACCTATGCTGGTTCCATAGCTTAGCTCTATAAACAGGGGTGTGCATGTATCACTGTAATATGATGACATTAATTCTTTAGGATAAACACCAAAGAGCGCCATAGCTGGATCATATGGTGGTTTCGTTTTTTATCTTTTGAGGAACCTTCATACTGATTTCCTTAGTGCTTGTACTAATTTACAATCCCACCAACAGTGTAGTCTTCCTTTTTTTCCATATCCTTTCTATTATTTATTATTTGTTTTCTTGATGACTGCCATTCTGATATGAGATGAAATTTCAGTGTAGTTTTAATTTTCATTTCCACAATTGCCAATGATGTTGAACATTTTAAAATATATTTTTTGGCCATTTGTATTTCTTCTTTTCAGAAATAGTAAATTAATTTGCCCATTTATAAGTTGGGTTACTTGATATTTTGGTGTTAAGTTTTTGAGTTCTTCATTTATTTGAGATATTAATCTTCTGTCAGAAGAGTAGCTAGCAAAGATTTTCTTCCATTCTGTAGGTTCTCTGTTAACATTTCTAATTATTTCTTTTGATGTGCAGAAGCTTTTCAATTTGATGCCATCCCATTTATTAAATCTTGGCATTATTTTCTGAATTTTAACAATCCTATTGAGAAAGTTATTGCCTGTGCCTATATGCTGGAGTGTTGACCCTATGTTTTCTTCTAGGAGTTGCCTAGTTTATATTCCAATTCCTAGGTCTTTGATCCATTTTGAATTGATTTTTGTGCAAGATGAGAGATAAGGGTCCAGTTTCATTCTTCTACATAGAAATAACCCATTTTCTCAGCACTGTAAGAAGGCTTTCTTTTCTCCACTGTGTGTTTTTGACATCTTTGACAAGGATCAGAGGACCGTATCTCTGTGTCATCTATTCCATGGTCTGCATGCCAGTACCATGCAGTTTTTGTTACTACAGCTCTGAAGTATAATTTGAAGTCTGGTGTTATGATGCTGACACTACATATTAAAATGTTAAATAGGGCTGGGTTGTAGCTCAGTAGTAGAGCATTTGCCTAGTATGTGTGAGGCACTGAGTTCAATCCTCAGTACCATGTAAAAATAAGTACATAAAATAAAGGTATTGTGTCCATCTATAACTAAAACATTTTTTTAAATGTATACCTTTTGTACCTGCAATTTCATTTTTTGGAATCAAAACTAATACAATCCTATTATGTATATTCAAAAATATCTATATAATAAGAATGTTATTACTGCATAGTTAGTAGTGGTAAAGAAGTCCTGAAAATCATCCAAATTTCCTTTGATAGGGAAAATAAATCATGTTGCATCCCTACAATGAAGTGCTATGAAGTTGTTCAAAATGAACAATTAGCCAAGAGTGGTAGTGCATGCTTGTAATCCTAGCAATTTGGGAGATGGAGGCAGGAAGCTCAAAAGTTTGAGGTCAGCCTCAGTAACTTAGCAATACCCTATGCAACTTGATGAGGCTCTGCCTTAAAATAAAATATAAAAAAAGGTCTGGGAATGTAGCTCAGGTAGAGTGCTCCTGGGTTCAATCTCCAGTAAAAATAAATAAACAAATAAAATTAAAATGAAGTAGATAAGTCTGGTGTGGTGGTGCACACCTGTAATTCTGGTGATTCAGGAGTCTGAGGTAGGAAGATCACAAGTTCAAGGCTAGCCTCATCAACTTAGTCTGAATATTGAAAAAAAAAAGGGGGGGGTACTGAGGATGTAGCTCTGGGATAAAGTGCCTATAATCAATCCCCAGTACCATGAAAAAAGAAGAGGAAAAAGAAGAAAAAAGAAAGACGTAGATATATTGTTCAAAGAAAAAATAAGATATGAAGGGATATGTTACCTCTAACCTAGTTTATATGTGTGTGTGTATCTACAGTTTTTTTGGGGGGGTGGGTACGGGGATTGAACCCAGGGGCACTCAACCACTGAACCACATCCCCAGCCCTATTTTATATTTTATTTAGAGACAGGGTCTCATTGAGTTGCTTAGTGCCTTACTTTTGCTGAGGCTGGCTTTAAACTCGTGATTCTCCTGCCTCAGCCTCCCGAGCTGCTGAAATTACAAGTATGGGCCACCGTGCCTGGCCTATTATTTTAATTTTTCACAGTGAATATATATTCATGTATTAATTTTGTCATTAACCTGCCTGGAAGATTATAAAAATCCAAAGTACCGGACTAGGGCTGGGGATGTGGCTCATGCGGTAGCGCGCTTGCCTGGCATGCATGCGGCCCGGGTTTGATCCTCAGCACCACATGCCAACAAAGATGTTGTGTCCGCTGAAAACTGAAAAATAAATATTAAAAATTAAAAAAAAAAAGTACCAGACTGGGATTGTGGCTCAGCGGTAGAGCGTTCGCTTAGCACGGGCGAGACCTGGGTTCGAGCCTCAGCACCTCATAAAAATAAAGGCATTGTGTTGTATCCATCTACACCTAAAAAACAAACATTAAAAAAAATCAAAAGTGGGCTGGGGATGTGGCTCAAGTGGTAGCGCACTTGCCTAGCATGCATGAGGCACTGGGTTCGATTCCCAGCACCACATAAAAATGAAATAAAGATATTATGTCCACCTAAAACTAAAAAAATAAATGTTAAAGAAAAAAAAAGTACTTAAAAAAAATCAAAAGTACCTTCTGACATAGTTAAAGACAGCAAGAGGAAGATTAGTGAAACAGCATGGGGTCTTACAGGAGTGTCCTGGGAACAACTGATGTTCAACTCAGCAAAATGAAACAGTGTGGGGGTTATTCACTCTGAAGACCCTCTGTGGCAGATACTACTACTATTGGCTTCTTTCCCTCATCAGTCAGAATATTATTTTCTTGGGTCACCATATGGGTCAGGAAGTGCTAAGGAATCTTAATAATATCTTGAGCAAGTTATTTTCAGATGACATTTATTAAACCGATCAATAGGAAAAAGAAGTAGGAATAATTTATGTCAATGTCATTTCCTTTGTGTAAATGCTAAAGAACTGGCCATGTGTGTTTTATACTCAAAACAGTTCTGCCTGACAGCTAGACACTATAGAATGGAGGGTTCAGTTGTTGAAAAGTTTGGTTCCTGCCCTTCAGTATAGTAACTTGCATCTAGCTCAAAGGCAAGTATTCCATTAACTAGCCATTGGCAAGGGTCTAGAGGAATGAGGTGAGAAGAGGAAGATTTTGTTTCTTCTTTCTAATCCAGCTGTCCTGAGCATATCTTGATACACAGTGCCCTGCCTAAAGAAAGTCACTGTGCTAGGCAATGCACATGTGTATGACTTGGAGTGGTTGCTCAGTGAGACACTTGAGACCTAAACAGAAGTGATGCCGAGCAACTCCTCAGTGGCACCCAAAAGTTCCAAAGCAGTTGGTGAATGACAGTTACAAATAAAGTAGGGGCAGAAAAAACATGTAGAGAAATGAATGATGAACTAGACCCAGGAGATGTCAAAACTGTGTAGTGAAGACATCATACCACGCACCTTTGAATATCCATCTGACAACTCCCTTCCCATTTTCAGCATGCTGGACAGCAGTAATCAGCCGCACTGGAGCAATGAGCTCATAGGAGAACAGCTGAGGCAGCAAGTATCTCAATTGCAGGATCAACTGGATGCTGAGCTGGAGGAGAAGAAAAAGGTCTTAGATCAGCTGTCCAGTGAGAAAGGTAAATCAGGTCTGGGAGAGCTCTAAGTGTGGCACCCCCTATATTTGGTTTAGTAGAAGGGAACTTGGGCTTTCATTTCTTCTTGATCCTATTCTTTTGTGGATCATAGATGACTAGAATAAAAACACTGGATATCAGGTCAGATTTACTATCAGGAAGACATGACACCTACCTACCTCCTGTGTATACTTTTTCCTATGTAGTGTCTTTCTATTTGGGAGGATGCTGAATTTTAATTTGTTATTTTAAACATTCACTTTATTGATTTAAAGGTATTAAAATGAATTTCTCTGTCTTTTGTCATTCTCATCAATCATTTAAGTGTGAGTAGGAGAATTCTTTTTTTTAAGCCCTAATATTTGAGATTACTAATTTTTATTACTACTATCATTTCACCTGCTATCTTAACTCTTGGATCACAGGCAATAATTATTTGGAATATTTTAAAACACTGTCAAAAAGATCTTTATCTTGCTGCTTCTTCCTGTTCTGTACCTTACTGTGTACTCTTAACAATTTTGTATGTCATCGGATTCTAGTGTATTCATAGGAGAGTGAAGGAAAAGAAATACAAATCAAGAATAAAAGAGGCAGAGGGACGGGTGTAGTGGCACACGCCTATAATTTCAATAGCTGAGGACGATGAGGCAGGAGGATCGAAAATCAAAGCCGGCCTCAGCAGTTTAGTGGCCCTAAGCAACTTGGCAAGACCCTGTCTCAAAAAAAAAAAAAAGGATTAGGGATGTATCTCAGGAGTAAAGCACCCCTGTGTTTAGCCCCCAGTACTCTCCCCCCATGACCAGAAGACAATCCTGTTTACTGAGTCAACAAAGTAAAATTCCTTTGTAGAAATAAGAGAATTATTTCTCTTAGGGCAAATTTATAAAATGAAATGAACGTTAGTGGGATCTGACTGACTATGATTACCAGTAACTTTCTGGATTATTTTTTCTCCAGCTCAAAACAGGGTTCTGAAGCTTGAAGTTACCAACATCCTTCAGAATCATAAACAGGAAGTAGAGATCCTCCAAATGACAGCCACAACACCTGAGTCTCCTGATGATCAATCTGAACCCTACACTCACCCAGATCTGTTCCTAGAGACAGCTCTGGTAGAGGTAAGAACCTCTTTAAACGAATAAGTCCACTCTCCAGAGGGATCTCTGCAAATATCCCTAGGAAAGATGCAGGTGTTAAAATGCTCACTGAATATTTTGTCCTGACTGAGGACCATATTTGGAGGGATATATGAGAAGGCCAAGAGTAGAGAGGGCCTATTGAAATCCACCTGCTTTTTTCCATGCATCACAGCTCATAAAATGTAGAATCTTTTTCAGATGAGGACTTGAATTGATCTGCTGAGAAGCAAATTGCCATTAGAGGCTGTATAACTTCTGGTGCTGCTGCTTCTGCAGACCATGAGGACTTGACAGGAGGTGTGCCGCAGTCTGGCTGGGCACAAATGCCACAGTCTGGCTGGGCACACAATCACGAGCCACCACACAGCTTGTAGATTCAAACAGCAACTCTTTATTCCCGAACTCACACCAGCCGTCTACAATCACGTTCTGGGGAAATCCACGTTCTCTTCCCAAATCCATGTTCTCTGCCCAAGTCCACCTCCACTGGGCTTCTTCTCCCAAAATATACTGTCTGAATCCCGTGAGAACTCAAGGGGAACTCAGGCAGCAGGATACGCCCTATTCCCAGCAGGAATAATCTTAAACCTTAAACCTGGAACCTAAACTGGGAACGCCCTAAACACGATTATCTTAAAACCGGGAACACCCTAATCTGCCTTGGTCCTTGAGCAAGGTCACGTACATTCAATGTCACTGCAACATGGGGTACGCTGGCAAGGAAATTGTCATACCTACTTGGCTAATGGCTCCCAGCAGAGGTGCCTTTGTGAAGTAGCACAAGTCTTTTTTTTCCACTGGAGTAAATTTTGTTGCTGGCGTCTTACTACTAGCAGCAACTGCTTTATGGAGAAGAGTTGTTACTCTACTTGTCATATTTATACTCCTTTTCACGAATGTCTTTCTCTGTAGCACGGGGAACCAGAAATACAAGAAGAAAAACAACTGTCCCAGATGCTAAGTGAATTGCAAGTATTGCATGCAGAGACCACACTAGAACTAGAAAAGACCAGAGACATGCTCCTTCTGCAGCGAAAAATCAACATGTGTTATCAGGTGCAAGGAAAAAATGGTGTGGGAAGGGATAGATAATTGGGCACATGGGAATTATAATACCACTCCCAAGACTGGTAAGGAAGCAAGACCCAAGTTTCCAGAGCTGACACCAGGTGATACACTGTCCCATGCAAACCCAGAATGTGCTGTCCTTAGAAGAACTTAAGGACTCACACTTGCCCATGGCACCTTGGCATTAGAAGCCAGTAGATGGGGCTGGCTAATAAAACTGGCAAGTGTGAAGCTTCTGGTTTAATTATTTCCAGTCCTAGAGAAATACTAACCTATGACACCCTTAGCACAAGTAGTCCTAGAGGGGTCTGTGAGGAAGCTAGGCCTTTTTATAGTGGTTCACTCCTCCCTGTTATGGGGATAGCAGTCTTCTTTACCCAGCAAGTGCCACCTTTCTATCTGGGCTTTTGTGTTCTAGGCCACCGAGATGGGAAAGTTCAGACATTATTTTGTTTTAGGAGGAACTGGAAGCAATGATGACAAAAACTGACAGCGAAAGTAAAGATCACAAAGAAAAGCTGGAGAGGCTGAGTCAGCTCCTAGATGTCAAGAACAACCGTATCAGGCAGCTGGAAGGTATTTTGAGAAGCCATGGCCTTCCAATATCTGGCAAGTCCTAGTACTTTGTTCTCATCTTGGGCCGCCTCACCCAGCTAATGCCTGTATTTCCTTTGTGTACAATCTGTGCAAGGCTGCCTCTTGTGTCCTTAACTTAGCCCTCCTGTTCTTTATCCTGTCATCTTTGTGTCTTTAACATGTTGTTAACATCTTCTTTCCTCCACTAATGTCAGTGTGTTTCTCTGATTTCTCTGGAGAGTTTCAACCAGGCTCAATAATTGTTTCCAGGGGGTTGATTATATTTCAAGAATGAGAGCATCACTATTGGCCCTCAGGATGGTAAATCAATCTATCCTTCTCTCTCTCTCTCTCTCTCTCTCTCTCTCTCTCTCTCCATTCTCTATTCAATCAAATCCTGCAAAGCTATTTTTGTTTGTCAGGTAATACACCTTTATTACTCATCTCCTATCACTTCATTCAAGGATGTCAACAGTCACAGGGCAGCTGTCACTTAATGCATTTCATATTGTGCTACATCCTATTTTTAGTATCATCACTGCTGGACAGTGTTTGCTCTTGGCCTTATATGTCAAGAAACTAGGCTTTATTGTCATACTCAGTGATGAGAGGCTTGACTCACTAAATTCACCAGAGATCGATATTTAAATAAAAAAATAATCCACAATGGTGGTTGTTCCATTACTGCCATTAGAATATTTGGAAACACTGATCAGGGCATCCCTCTTTCTGGCAAGAGAATCAGTAATAAGCATATTACTTAGTAAGCATGGAAATAGAATAAAGGGAGATGAGTCATTCTGGGGCATGACTTATCTATGCGAGGGTGAGTCCAATAAAATGTCACTGTCATATTATAACTAAGAAAATACCCCCTTGGATTAAAATTCTCAAGTGTTTCAGATTCAGGGTTTTTCTCTTACAACCAAGCAGGATAAATACCCTGCTTATGAAGATTCATTTGCTTAAACTTACAGTTGTCTGATTACTGCTAAGTTAAAGAGCTTTTCATAGTTTACCAGTTATTTCTTTTGAGAATTGCCAGTTCCTGGTCTTTGACCATTTCTTAGTAGAATCTTATTGCTTAGACTATTAGCCTTGTGTCATGTAGTGCAAAGTTTTAAATATATTGTATCTAATTATATTAACCTTATAAATTAAGAACGCATTAACCAATTAGCTCATATCTGTACATGCAATATCCGTATTTCATGTTTTAACATGAAGACATTCTAATGTATCCAGAACATTTTATTCTATTGATTTAACTCTTAAAATAGGATATTCACCATCAACAGGCTGTGATGACTCAAATACTCTCAATTTGAAGTAGACAATATATCAAAGTTTCTGATTGGTTGGGCATGAGAAGTAATATCCAGATTGGGTGCTGACTACATATCTTTGCATCCCACTACCAACATTTCAACCCACTTCCAGTAAGTCTCCTCTTCCACTTTTTACTCCATTATCCTTTGAATTGAAATGATTTTTTTCCCCTCTGTAATTAAACCAGCCTCTTTTTTGGGGAGAAAGGGTTTCTGGGGATTTAACCAAGAGGGGCTTTTACCAACGAGACCGCACCCCAAGCACTTTTTTTTTTTTTTGCTACAAGGCCTCACTAAGTTGCTTAAGGCCTCACTAAATTGCTGAAGCTGGCCTTGAATTCCAATCCTCCTGCCTTAGCCTTCTGAGCCACTGGGATTATAAGTGTGCATCACTGCAGCTGGTGATTAAAACCAGTTTCAGAACAGAATAAAAATTCTTTCAACTGATCTGGCTGAAAAAGGGAAGCATTTCTTGGCTGGGCCCAATGTGGTGTAATAGACATCATGTCTGTAACTTGCTAATCTCTCTTGACCAACACACAGAAATTTTGGAAATTTCGCATTTTGTGTTACTAGTGCGTCTCTTTTATAATTACTGATTAATTCATTTGACTTTGTTGTAAACCAAAACAATATCCTCTGTATGATGAAATGTGCTTCCTGAGTTGCATTTATTTTCCAGCCACTCATTCAGTATTTTCTCTCTGAAGAAGTATTGACTATTTGGTCATCAGAATTCAAAGCTCTTGGTTGTCATTCTTTTGCTCTTTCTTTTGAATCATGAGGTTTCTTGAAATCATCTCAACATGGACTTCCACCATGTTTTTATTCTCCTTCTCTGTATCCTTCTGTAGGCTAAGGAAGAGCTCCCTACCATTTAATGGATAGGCAGTTTTCTTTCTCCTCTAGAACAACTCAAAGATGTTGCTTATGGCACTCGACAGTTGTCTTTGTGTCTGGAATCACGGTCAGCCCATGGAACGGCGGATGAAGTGGACATTTCTTTGCTGCATTGGAGTGAAAATATTTTTGAACTGCATATCCACCAGGCCTTCTTGACACCTGCTGCTCTGACCCAGGCTGGAGACATCCAACCTACCACTTTCTGCACCTATTCCTTCTATGATTTTGAAACCCACAGTACCCCATTATCTGTGGGGCCACAGCCCCTTTATGACTTTACATCCCAGTATGTGGTGGACATAGGTTCCCTTTTCTTGCACTACCTTCAAGTGGCTTCAGCCCGGGTTGATCTACATCAGGCTGTGGGCAGTGAGCACCATACTCTTGCGACTGGACAGATTTGCTTTGACAAAGTGCTGGAGACTGTGGAGAAAGTCCATGGCTCAGCTGTACTTACTGGTAAGTGCTGTCAGCTTCCTACAGCTCCTAGGACCAATGCAGAATCTCCCAAAGCCCATAGTTTCTTTTCCAGTGGTTTCCTGTTTTCATTCTCTGCCTTTATTCCCAATCCTTTAATCCCAATCCTTTAATCCCAATCCTTGCCACACCATCTGTATTCTCCATACTTTTCATACTTTCCGCTACCCAGGAGCTGCTGGAGAAGACTGCGGGGTGCTAGAGTACTGGATGAGGCTACGCTTGCCTCTAAGATCCAACCTATGGGCATGCAATAAACAAAAGAAAGCCCAGGCCTACCTGTCAGCCAATGTGCTTGATGCCTGGAAGGCTCAGGAGGATGAGGTGAGAAAAAAGATGTGCCCAAGCATCTCCAAGGAGCCTCAGCCAAACAGCTCATGAGAACAGTTCAGTCTTCACTCTCAAAGAATATTTGTTGAATGTGAATGAAAGAAAAAAGCAACCACACCAAAACTAGTTCAGATCCTTCCCTTGGTCAAACTTGAGTTTGGAGTGAAATCATGCCCTAGGAGCTAGTGACCACAAGACAGCTTCTCTATCACTAAGATAGGGGCTGAGGACTGGCATCTCCCCTGGATAACTGCCAGAGCCAGTGGGCATGCAGGTGAAGGGCATTAGGTTTGTGACCCAGTCAGGATAGCAACTCTCTAGATTGTAGCTCTTCCTCACCATGGGTTGGGCTTTACCTATGACACTCTCAGGCTGCCCTCTTCCTCAATCCAAGACCAACATCTTTCCAGTCCAGATCAGAAGCCTGGAAACATCAGAATGAGCTGCGGATCGAAATCACCAGGTGCCGTGGTCTCCGGAGTCGAAGGCTGGGAACTCAACCCAGTCCCTATGCCATGTACCGCTTCTTCACCTTTTCTGACCATGACACTGCCATCATTCCAGCCAGTAATGATCCCTACTTTGGAGACCAGGCTCGATTCCCAGTGCTTGTGACCTCTGACCTGGATGAGTATCTGAGGCGGGAGGCCCTGTCCATATATGTTTTCGATGATGAAGACTCAGAGCCTGGCTCCTACCTTGGCAGAGTCCAAGTACCCTTGCTGTCTCTTGCACAGAACAAATCTATTAAAGGTGGGAGTTCCAGGTTGTTACATCTTTACACCCTCCCTCCCCAGTGTTGCCTCCTTGTTCTGATTCTATTATTCTTTGATCACTTGCTTGGAACAGTCTTTCAAACAAGCTGCTGAAGACTTTAGAATATTGTCAAGAGCAACAGGGCAGAAGACTTAGAGCCTCACTGCTTGTGTGGAAACATGGGCTTCCATTCCTGTTCAGCAAAAAATCAGGATTCACAAGGGGCTTGACCCCCAACCTGAAATCCATACCTGTGTCTCTGGAAAACTTTTTCAAAGTCTGCAGTGCTTCCTACTACTTGTCTTTACCTGAGGCCTATTTCTTAGTGCATGACTAGATCTGATCATAATTTAATACACCCCTGTGATTGTCTTAACTTGTTTTAAATGTTACATATAAATCAGACTTCCATGCCAGACCATGACAAAGACAAATTTTTGGGATATGAAGCTGAGCTTCATACTATCTTACTTTATTTTCTTCCCCAGGATTGTAGGGTGCACCTAGGAGGGGTCAGCTGTCTGACAACAGTCCTAAGAGAATGAAGTAGAGGTATCTGTGCTCTCATTAGGAATAGTGGATAGGTACAGCCAATACTAATCATCTTTTTCTGGAAGTGTGTGAGGCCTCTTTCCTTCTAATACCACAACCACTTAAAAAAAAAAAAAAGCTGACACTTTTGCCCCCAGCTCACCCAAAAGAAGGAGAGGTCATATGACCCCTCTGTTAATCAGTGTTACAAACCAGAAGTTGAACATTTAGGAAAGAGCCATTTTGCTAAAGTGTTCTTGGGGCCACCTGAATGTAGGTGATTGCTTTCTTGGAATAGTTCAGTAAGAATTTAATGATAGTTATGATAATGTAATTTTTTTTTACGGACTAGATGACTGATGACAAGCAAGCTGTTATTTCTCTTTATACATCTTTTGACTCTGTTCCTGAAATCTGAGATACCCATCTTCCCCTTTGATCATCTAACTGCCCTGCTGTTTTGTTACTTCTGAGTGCATCATTGTCATGATTATTTGATGGATGTTAATTAATTTCTAACAAAATGTGATGAAATGTAAGAAATGGGGGGATAGATAAGATGCTGATAAATGCTCATTGCCTACTTCATGTGTTTAGGTATTATTAAAGTTTCTGTGTTTCTCAGGTGATTTTAACCTCACTGACCCTACAGAGAAACCAAATGGTTCTGTTCAAGTACAACTGGATTGGAAGGCTTGCTATATACCACCTGAGAACTTCCTGAAACCAGAAGCTCAGACTGAGGAAAATGACACCAAGGAAAGTCTAGAGATATTATTTTCAGAGGAAAAGGCTTATTTTCCTCCCCAGGTAGCTCTCCCAACTCCTGAGGTAGCAGATTTCTGCCATTTCTATGGAGTGGAGTTGAAGGGAGCACTATTAAAATTGGCATAAAAATTTTTCTTTTGTGAATGTCACCACTAATGCAAATTTAATCTGGACACTATTTTTATTTTTTTTTTGGTAACAGGGATTGAACCCAGGGGGGTTAACCACTGAACAACATCCCCAGACCTTTGTCATACTTTATTAACAGACAGGGTCACACTGAGTTATTTAGGGTCTCACTAAGTTACTGAGGCTGGCTTTGAACTTGTGATACTTCTGCGTCAGCCTCCTGAGCTGCTGGGATTACAGGAGTGTGTGTGTGTCACTGTGCCCAGCTCTGGAGGCTATTGATGGAGCAAAACCCTGTATTTATTGTGGAGAAGGAGAGACAGTGTCTTTCAGTTCCATGGCAAGAGAAAAATGAAATCTAATGCTAATTCATAAGTCCCTTTCTTGAGTATCAAGATTGTTAAACTATCATCTTTAAATTTGTCTCTGATTCTTCTATTCAGGACCAGATAGCATTTTCTGAGATTCCCATTGAAGCTGACCAGTATCAAGCAAAGAGAAAACTTCCTCAGATGGGAGAAAAAAAAGAAAAGGAACACCAGGTTGCAAGCTACTCAAGAAGAAAACATGGAAAAAAAATAGTTGTCCAAGGAAAGAATAGAATGGAGTATCTTAGTCGTAACGTCTTAAATGGAAATACACTACAAGTAAGACCTTGAAATCTCTGAAGAACTAAAATATGGGTTGTAGTATCCCCACATCTTATCCTCAGAGATAGAAGCAGATGAAGATATATAAGTAATAATCATAGCTATTTGTGGCTAGCTTTTCTTTTCACAAAGACAAGTAGTTTAATGAATCCTTGGACTGTTTGCTTCATGTCAAAAGCAATTTAATTCACTATATTATGTACTTTACAATTTATACTTAGAAGTTTAATAACATATACATGTGTATATATGTGTGATAGAGCTAGTATGAAAGAAAGAAAGAAAGAAAGAAAGAAAGAAAGAAAGAAAGAAAGAAAGAGAAAGAAAGAAAACAAAGATATGACTACTTACATAATATTATTCTTATTCGGAAGCAGGTGAACTATACCGAGTGGAAATTCTCAGGGCTTAACATAGATGATGGTCTTAAAACTCAGACCAATGAAAAGGAAATGACATTATCACAGTCAGCACTGAAAGAAGAGGAACCCCCACATCCTATAAATGGTATTGTCTTTCTAAAATCTAAATTTTCTGTTTAATCATTTAATGATTTTATAAAGCTAATTACTGACTGGTTTTAATTAATTTTATTTAATTAAATCTTTTTAATTAATTTAATTAATCTTTTAATGAGAAGTTAGTATGTAAGTCTCTAAGCCTGACTTGGGTTACAAGTATGAGGGTTAGGCCAACCAAGGCTGGAATTCTTAGTGAAAGGACTGTATATGTAGCTAGTTGGCTAGCTAGCTTAGTGACCTACTATTTGTAAAATGTTTATTTGTTTCAGGGTCTTGGGAATTATTGTTACAAAGAATTAGGAGGAATGTAACCGGTTCATTTGTGAAGTTAATTCAAAAATTTTAAAAAATTATGGTAAGGCTTTGAATTAAAAAATAGATGATTTCAGATCATCCTAATGGCAAACTAGGTAATTTGGATTAATTCTCCCATGAGTGACAGTTAGAAAGCTAAAGTAAGTATATTTTAAAAATATCTTCTTAATGTTTCTTAGAAGCATTAAAGTGCCAATAAGAAAGGGAAGAATTACCTAACCTAGACTAGGGAAATGCCTGGAGCTCAGAGAGGTGAGTTGGAACAGCTTCAGCCCTGGGACATTGCCAGTCTGGAGGAGGCTGAGAAGAGGTTGAACCATGCTTTGGGTGGACTTGTGGGGTGGGGAAGTAGGCATGTAGTCCAAATTTAGCGTCTTCCCAGGGTAAGCAATTGTCTGCCCAGGATAGAATTTCCCACTTTCTTGTCTGGGACCATGAGGACAGCTCTATTGTGAGCCTCTTATACCCTAAGATGCAAAATTGCTTTTTGGAGTAAGGGTTGATTTGATGTCTACCAGGATTCTTGACATTGGAGTTATCTGACATAAACTGCACAACTGTGTTTACCACCTTCATGACGATAAGAGCTGAGCTTTAAGTTTTCAGGAGAAAATGGGGCTATGAAAATTGGCATCTTAAGTTTTTTACTTACTTTTTTTACTTGTTTATTTTTATGTGGTACTGAGGATTGAACTCAGTGCCTCATGCATGCTAGGCAAGCACTCTACCACTGAGCTACAGCCCCAGCCCGGCATCCTAAGTTTTAAAGTAATTTTGTTTTAAAATAATTTCGAATTTACAGAAAAGCTACATGAATAGCATGTGCTCTCTCTCTCCCTCCCCCCTCTCTCTCTCATACACACACACACACAGCATATATTTTCAGTTCTTCTTTTTACTTCTCCCCATCCCATTCTCCTCCTCTTTCTTCTTTTCCTCCTCCTCCTCCAACCCCAGTCCCTCATGCATGCTTGTCAAATACTCTACCTGAGCCACAACCCCAGACCAAAAAAAAACACACATACCCTTCACCCAAATTTGTCAGTTTTTAATATTTTTGCCACTATTTACTTTATCATATTTTTCTGAAGCCCTTAATTTGCAAATATTATACCTCCTTACTACTATAATTGTTTTCCTAAAAAGGGGGAATTATATTATCGTAGTATAATTATCAGATTTGCAAAACTTACCACAAGGACATGTCCAGTCCATGTTGAGAATTTTCTAGTTGTTTGTTCCAATGAAGTTCCTTAGATCAGGCCGTTTTTCGTTTGTTTGTTTGTTTGTTTATTGTTTTTCAGTCCAGCGTTGTGCATTGAAATTTAGTCACCTTCTTTAGTCTACTTTAACCTGCAACATTTCTTCCTCTTTTGACTCTCATAATATTGTTATCTTTGGAAGATGTAAGAGAGTTTTTCTGTAGAGTGTTCCTTAATTTAGATTTTCTGATGCTTTTTCTCATATTTAGATTTAGATTATGATTTTTTTTTTTACAGGAATAACACAGAAGTGATATTGTGTACCTCTCACTAAATCATAGTTAGGCGGTACATGATGCCAGTTTGTACTGTTATAGTGATGTTAGCATTGATCACTTGGTTAAGAAAGCATCTAAAGCTCCGGAGGCTGAGACAGGAGGATCACAAGTTCAAAGCCAACCTCAGCAACTTAGTGAGACTCTGTCTCAAAATAAAATATAAAAATTAAAAAAGACTGGGTGACTCAGTGATTGAGTGCCCCTGGGTTCAATCTTTGGTACCAAAAAAAAAAAAAAGTACCTGTCAAATTACCTTTTTTCCTTTGTAATCATTGCATAATCTATGAGAAGTTATTTAGAGATTGTACAAATATCTTGCTCATTGTGTCATTTTGCTTAATAATTTGTGCACCCATTTGTTTTTTTCTAAATCATTACAAAATATTTTTAAAATATGTAACAGATTTAGAAGTGAACTAATATAAATTATAGAAGTAATAAATACAGAAACTTAAAGAAAGAGATAGGTTGAAAGAGATAGGTTGAAACTGACATGAGAATTAATTAAAATACCCAGAGTAAAGCAAGCAGAGACAAGAAGGAAAATGCAGGGCTGAGGTTATAGGTCAACTTGTAGAGAGCTTGCCTAACATGTGTAAGGCACTGGGTTTGATTCTCAATACTGCATATTCATATATATATACCTACATACATACATACAAAATAAAGGTCCATCAACAATTTTTAAAATACGAAAAAAATTTAAAAAAGGAAAATGCAAAAAGAAAGGAAGAAGAAATGAGACATATGGATAAAATGAAGAGGTCAAAGCTACACTTTATTAAATAAGAGAGAAAAAGGAAGAAGGACAGAGACAGTAAAGTAAATAATGACTTAGAGTTTTCCAGAACTAATAAAATATATTGAGTCAGTGAAATGAACTCAGACACATTAAGAAAAAGTAAATTCAAATCTAGGTATGATTGGAGTAAAAATTCAGAAAATAAAAACAAAGAGAAAATATTAAAAGCAACCCTTTATGAGAAATAGACAACCATTGGTATATCAGTGAGAAGAGTAGCTGACTTGAGCTGGGGATGTGGCTCAAGCGGTGGCGGACTTGCCTGGCATGCGCACGGCGATGGGCTCGATCCTCAGCACCACATATAAATAAAGATGTTGTGTCCGCTGAAAACTAAAAAATAAATATATTAAAAAAAAAAAAAAAGAGTAGCTGACTTGTTAAGGGTTACCAGCCTAGCCAGAAAAGAAGATACTTTCTTTTTTTGATGGAGGACAGGAGGCCATACTGGAGCACTTTACCAGTAAACTACATCTCCAGGCACCCCCCGCCCCCTTTTTAGTTGTAGATGGAGATAATTCCTTTATTTCATTTTTTAATTTTATGTGGTGCTGAGGATCAAACATAGTGCCTCATGCAGGCTAGGCAGGTGCTCTACCACTGAGCTACAACCCCATCCCCATCTCCAGCCCTTTTGCATTATTTTCTTTTCAGACAAGGTCTTGCTAAATTGTTGAGGCTGCCCTCAAACTTTTGATCCTCTAGACTCAGCCTCCCAAGTTGCTGGGATTACAGTGTGCCACTGTGCCCAGCACAAGATATTTTCAATGTGCTGAAAGAAAATAATGAACTGCTAAGAAAGAGTCTTCCACCCAATAAAAATATTCTCCCAGAAAGGAAGCAGAATAGATATTTTCAGACAAATGAAAACAGTTTGCCTCCAAGCCACATATTAAAAAATCATTCTTTAGGCTGAAGGAAAATTATCCTAGAAAGAAACACAAGTGCAGTAAGGAAGAAAAGCAAAGAACATGCTTATGTAAATGACTATATAAAGCAAAAATACTAGTTTGTGGGTTTAAATGTATTTGGAATTTAAATAGATAATGTGGTGGATGGAACAGTAGCCCCCAGAAAAAAAAAAAAGTCCATGTCCTGAATCCTAGAACCTGTAAATATTGCCTTATTTGGGAATAAGTTATTTGCAGATGTAATTAAGCTAAATAAAGATCTTAAAATGAAGATCTAAGTGGACCTTAAATCCAATGACACACACAGGAGAGGAGGAGGCAATGGGATGGTGGCGGCAGAGATTTATGTAGCCACAAGCCAAAGAACACATGGAGCAACCATAAGCTGGAAAAGGCAAGGAAAAAAATTTAAAAAGAGCTGGATATGGTAGTGGACACCAGCAGCTCAGGAGGCTGAGAAAGGAGGATCTTGACTTCAAAGCCAGCCTAAGCAATTTAGTAAGGCTCTGTCTCAAAATAAAACATAAAAAGGCTTGGGAATGTGGCTCAGTGGTTAAGTGCCCTGGTACCAAATAAATAAATAAATAAATAAATAATAAAATTAAAAGAGAGAAGAAAAAGGAAGAGGCAGACTGTTTCTGAAAGCCTTTGGTGGAAACATAGTTTGCCAAACGTTGATTTTGGACTTGGGATCTCCAGAATTCTAGGACAATATTTTTTTTTGTTATTTAAATCTTCCAAGTTTCTACTAATTTGTTATGACACTCATAAGAAATGAATGCAGACAATTACAGATATTTGGGAATTAATTAACACACTTATGAGTCAAAAAAGAGATATTACCAAAGGTTAGAAGTTATATTAAATGGAATAAAAAAATGAAAGTGCAGCATTATACAGCTCATGAAGTGAAACTAACGCAGTGCTTATAAGGAAATTTTTATAGCCTTTAATGGTTAAATTAGTAAAAAATAAAAGTATCAAGTCAATAATCTCAGCTTCACTTCAAGAAGCTAGAAAAAAAAATCAAACCTAAAGAAGTAAATAAAAAATATCAGAGTAGAAATCAATGGAATAGCAAACAGAAAAAGAATAGAGCAAATCAGTGAACCTAAAAATTGTTTTAAAAGATCAACAAACTTTCCAGGCACCATGGCGTACGCCTATAATCCCATTAGCTCAGGAGGCTGATGCAGGATGATCTCAAGTTCAAAGCTAGCCTCAGCAAACAAGGAAGCCCTAAGCAATTCAGTGAGATCCTGTCTCTAAATAAAATATAAAAAGGGGCTGGGAATGTGGCTCAGTGGTTGAGTGACCCAAAGTTCAATCCCCAATACCCCCAAAAAAAGATCAACAAACTTGAAAATAAGCCTGTATCTAGAATGACTGAATTAGTTAACCCTTATATTTGTGGTCAA